TTATTATATAATAATTAGATAAATTTTGCTTTTCATCTTCAATTATCAAAAGGAAATTGTAAATAATTCTGGTGCCCTTGTACAAAGGAGACCAGCAAGCCAATGAAATTGTTAAACTAAAAAAAAGCATTTAAAAGACCTTGTTCAAAACCAAAAACATAATGAAAAAATCAAGCATTTAATGAAAAACTAATATTAGTACCACTTAATGCTTAAAATAATCGAGTGTTTAAAATTAGCCAATTGGATTTATTTATTTGGTCATGTGTATGAACCTTTATATCTGATAAAACTAATCTTATTAGTATTCTTTGTATAAAGGATACTAATGAGGATGACCTTTATCAGAGATTTACAGTATATTCTCCCCAGAGTATCTTCGCCCCACATACTTTTGGAATCTTTGCCCCAAATCCTTTGGTAACTTCGCCCCATCATAAATAACATATAAAAAAGTATTGAATAAAGCTCATTGGAATTTACTTGCTACGATTTTGCTTTCATTCTGACTGTATTATTTATTTTTGCATTTTTCTATGATTTTTCGTTCAGAGTTCTGTAATATGATAAATAATATGATAATATTCTGTATACAACTAAAAATACAAATCATTAGATTAGTATTTTGTCGTCAATGTCAACAAAAGCGTCATGAGCACTTGTCGTGAGCACTTGAAGTGACTTCATGTCCGACTTCTCAATTTAGTAAATCATCTTTGTTGAGTCAAAAACGGTCACATTGTATACACTCAGTCAGCATTTTATAAACTTCGTTTTTTTGTGAGAAAAAAAAATAGAATTATATGATGACAGAAGTTACGAAATGTTTGTGATTTATCACTACTGCAGTACAACTGGGGCAAAGTTACCGAAGGATGTGGGGCGAAGATACCAAAAGTATGTGGGGCGAAGATACTCTGGGGCGAACTTACCGGTTACCTTTTATCAGATATAAAGGTCCATGACCCTAGCAAAGGTCTCAGGTTTGATTTCTCATCATTGATCAATGCAGCATGTCAACCGTAGTTCCGTAGTACCGTAGTTCACATGAATTCCATGTGGGATGACAAACGCACATTGTAAATTGACATGCTCATGAATAGATTATTGAATTTATGACCACTTTCCCAAAAATTTTAGGTTTCACATCAATTTTAAAGCTGATAAAATGCTCTCTCTCTCTCTCTCTCGTTTTTTTAAACTACATTGTATACTAAATTTACCAAGTTTGAGAAAAATATATTACAATTTTAAAAGATACAACTTCTCCATTTTACAATGAAGTTATTATGTATGGTGACCTACAGTAATGCATGTCTTCATACATTTCTATATAAATTTTAATTCGAGTTTTTGAAGTGGTGCATCTTCTCTAATTTTCAAAAGATTATTATTATCAAACTTGGTAAATACTAATAGCAGAGTTCATATTAGGGAACTATATATTATATATATGAACTCTGCTAATACCTATTACCAATTTTAGGACATTATTTTGAGAGATGGTAATAGCTTTTTTTTTCTTTGAGTTGGCATCAATTATCTTGAAAATTTAGGAGTATTATTTACTTACCAGGAATTCGATGATAATTCCAAGAATTTATCATGTTTTCTGATCCAACTTTGCTAACATGTATTGTTACCCAAGACACCGCAAATACAGTGAGAGGGTCTTCCATGTTAACCATATCTTGCTCTAATAATAGACAGAGTGCTCTTTTTAGAGGATAGTTGACCCTTTGATTCTCCTCTGGCCACATTCTCTCAGCACGGTAATTCCTAGTTGAGGTAGTTTGCTTCCAAGGTTCTCTTCTTTGGTCATAACGGTAATTCTTCAAGAGTTCCTGGACAAAAATACACAGACAAAATTCTGTTCCATGATCTACACGCAGTTGTTCAAAAAGCCCATATTGAAGAAGTAGTGGTCTATAAGTATAACATAAAAGTCAATACATGTAGGACTATATATAAACTATATGAATATGCAGAAAGAATGCATTATATAATAAACAAAGCAAAATACTGGATGGCAAAATACACACTGGGGTATTTACAGTTGCCATCCAGTATGAAAGATTTAGTTCCATGCATACATTTCATTTTACCTAAACAAATATTTGTAAATAAGGATAGGATTCTTTTTGGGGATTGATAAGAAACCAAGGACCATCCTGCTGCAACCATCTAAAGCATGTATATGTGTGACACCAAATGACTGAGCTAACTTTTCATTTTGATCCATGTGTACTTTGTAGCCAAAGTAGGGAGCATGGTAAGGTATAGGGTTTGTTCTATCCAATAAGTCAAGTGTTCTTTTCTCATAAGCATAAGGAGCGACCTCTTGCAGGACTTTTGCTATTCGCCGTTGACTTATTTCATGATACTGCTGGCTGTTTGTATTCAGCTGATATCTCAGTGTTCCTTGCATCATTCGGCGGCCATAGAAATGACCGTACTGCAGATTTAATCAAATAAATATTATGAATATTGCTTATTCAAATATATGAAGTTTTAAGTGAACAATGAACTCCAAGGAACATCCTATAATCAACTTGTGCATCTACCTATTAATGGGGGACTATGATGTCTGAAAATAGATGAAAATTTAGATTGATTTTAAAATCTGAAGTTTTCTGTGTCACTCATAGGACCACAAATACATAAGTTGCTTTAATCTATATCAAGCCTTATGAAATTAGAGTACACACAGGAAATCTGTGAAATATCTACAATTAAGGTTTAGTGACTATATTAGTTTTAGAATTTTAACATCATTTGTGCTAATTAGACCATATTTATATATACGGTAAGTGCCTAGCACTAAACTCGGAGTAACAGAAAATCTTGCGTCTTCGTCTTTAATTCATTATCGAAACTCTGCACCTTTAGTGTATCGAGCACTATTTAATGGTATCAGCCTCCTCCCTACATATGTATACGGTAATTATATATTATTATCTATATATCTAAAAAGATTATATTGGTGAAAGCATTCTGTACAGACATGTCTATATTTTGTAGTGTCAAATGTTATAATAGTGCTTCTTGAACCTCTAAGGCAGAGCAGAGCTCAGAGTTATAATCATTGCAAGGAGACTTTTGCTCCTAACCCATCTTAAGTGACAGTAGTTCAGCAAGGCTTTTATGATAAATCTTGCACTTGGTGCCCATTCCACCAGTTGTACAGTTGGGTGGCATGGGTGCCCTAGTGGTTAATCTGCTTGCCTCTCACCACTGTGGTCCGGGTTCGATTCCCGGGCACGGACCATATGTGAGTTTGAGTTTGTTTGATGTGTTGTTCTCTCCCTTGCCACGAGGGTTTTTCTCCGGGTCCTCCGGTTTTCCTCCCTCAGTAAAAATCAACATGTGAGGAGTGTGGTGTGCTAAAATACTTAATGTAGAGGTCTGTAGTGAGTGTGAGAGTACAGGGCCCGCAGTAATTGGCTCACGCTGTTGCGGTGTCCCTGCCCATACTAGGGGCAAAGCTAATAAATTAAAATTAAATTACTAAAAACTAAAGGCATAAAAGCAAAATCATAGCAAGTAAATTCCAATGTGCTTTGTTCAATACTTTTTAATATGGTATCTATGTTTGGGCCGAGGTTACCGAAGGATGTGGGGCGAGATTACTTTGGGTCAACATTACCTGAATTACACTGACACAGACAACACAAGAGAATGTCTCAGCTGACGAGCAGTAGAATGTGTTTCTGAATGCACCATTTTACGAAATGCAAATTATTTGAGCTTTAAACTGATTTTGCGCAAAGCCACCGATTATATTTGTCTCATTTGAATCCCTGTAAGAATTGAAGTAAATATGCTAATTTGAGCTATTTTTTAGTTTGTTTTAGTTTCCTTTGGGGAAACCATCATTCTTTTTTTTATTTAAAACAGATTTAAAAAAAGGTATTTGTTTGACATGCCTTTCACAGTTAAATGAAAATAACTCCATACCAGTTGCACTGAGCAATAGAAAACAAAGGACATTGTCAACAATGGTTTAGCTGTTTTAAGTTTACTGTAAGTTTTACTGTGGCCATTTCAAATGTCCTGTAAGAATTACATGTTAATATCAGAAACAGAAATGTAATAATTCTTGACCAAGAAAACCTCCTCAAGTACATACTATTAAGTAAAATACCCCAAACCTTACCATTGGTTTTCGGTAATTAACTCTTACATATTTAAATATTTGCTTCATCAACCACGAATACCAGTGCGTTTTTTATATTTATTCTAAGCTTTCGACCTAACCGGTCATCCTTAGGGAATGGAAAAAAACGTTACAACTAGCAAAATGAACACAATCAAACTGAACAAAAGTGTGCATCCTTATTATACATATGGACAAAGCGTGAAGATAAAAACAGGTTGATGAAGCAAATATTTAAATGAGTCAAAAAACAATCAAGAAAGATCTTTTGAACTCTTACATAGTCACTAAAAACTTTGTAGACATTTTACAGATTTCCTGCGAGTACTTTATAAGCATTTAAGAGTGAATGTCTGTAACGATCAAACATTTTCGAAAAATCGTGGCACAGGTCGAAAAATCGATTTCGCTCATATTTTGTAGTTTGGTARAGGAATGTATCCTAAGAATCGAAATGTATTTGGTTTGCTCAAATTTTGCTTTAAAATCGAGAAAATCGACATTTTTCAAAGGCACCCCGAAATGCTAATTTTGGCCGTGAATTTTAACGGCAGTTTTAACCACTGAATAACGCAACAAGCTAATCGTTTTAAGCCTTTGTAACACTATACTTTGTTTATACATTGCGTGAGTTTCAACTTAATTCGACCATTATAACATATTTTAATAATTATTTTCGTTCGAGATATTTTTCGAGTCGTAAAAAGTATGCTTTACAAACAATBCGACTGCGAATTTGCTAAACCTTTAAATGAAACAAAACTCGGTTATTTTGAAGAAGTAACAACGTGCTTTAAGGGGCACTAAACAAATCTCTGGGCAAATCTTTTTGCCGCACGACTCTCGAAACCCTTACCCTATCCCAGACCATTTTTTTTTATTTTATATACCCTACCCCAGACTAAAGGTACAAAGGTGCATTATTTTAGCGCTGAAAACGTGGCCTAGCAGATACGATCACAGAACCTACCTCCACCCTACCCAGACAATGAGACTATACCCTATCCTAGACAAAAAACAACCCTATCGCAGACAAAACTACTACCTTAACCCAGACAAATGGACAAAAAATGATACCCTATCCCAGACTTGGAGCCCCGAAAAAGGGACCCAATCCTGCAGCACATATACGTATAGCAAATATAGGCGATTTTTTCAAAGGCAAACGAGAGAAAATCCAGCGATTTGTTTTTCTGTAAGATAATCATCTGAACTGAACAAAAAAAGAACCATCGGTACTGCGGGTTTACTACGCATTGCCTTGGCAGAATTTCCCTTTAAATGTATATATTCATTGTAGTTGTATGTTACCTGAGCCAGCAGGGCCCAGCAGGAATAAATATCCCAATCTTAGCAGCGCTTCGCTTTCRTCTTTATCAACTCCTCTATCACCATTTGTCCAGGATTTTCGSGATTTTCATGGTTGGATACAGGAGGTGGTATCCTGCATCTTGTACTAGAACCTCGCGTCCATGTACYAATTAGCCTAGCTCGATGGACGGGGCACTATTGTCATTGAGCTGAYATTTTCTTGCATGCCGAAACACTTAGCAACGCAACGCAATATAAGGTCAACCTCATGTTCAGGACCTTTGAAAGCTAGTAAAAATTTATGATTCGAGAGTAATAACACAACATGAACCTGGAGGTGGAGGGGGGGAGGGGGATGGGAGGTCACCGGGGTAAAAGTACCAGGATTCAAGACACCTAAAACCTCCCAGAAGTCTTGAAAAAAGGGCGTTGCTAAATGATTTTTACCACAAAGAGATTTCACAAAAACATTGTTAAATTAAATCAGTTCCAATGATAAATACAGAGGAAGATCAATATCGCGGCGCACTTTGTCTTCTTTCCCGACACMCTAAGGGATTGCACAGAAAATGCAAATTTTCAGAAACTTCAAATTGGCACCCTAAAGGATTCCCAATCACGAATTTTTACCCCTAAGAGATCCGACAAGCATCCCCGGTACTTTTACCACGTAGCTGACCCATCCGACCCCCAGTACCTTGAACACAGGACTAGTCTTATCGYGATAATYTACGCCGCATGTACCGCCGACAATAGGTTTAAAAGAACAGTAAACCTCMATGATGAGAATCTGGTCAAATAGTAGCCAATACTTCGAGTTCCTTTGCGTATAATATGAGMCTGGGTGTAAACTGAGAGCAACAGCGCTATCATCCCCCATATGGAAGAATAATTTAGCTTGTAAAAGAGAATAGGTGATGGGATGCCTGTGTCTAATTACGCATACAGTGACATTTCCAGGTAAACAAACACTGCTCGTCTAAAGTTTAACGGAAAATTGTCCAGTTTTCGCTCTTGTTGAGTCTTAAGGTATGCATTTCAGTAGTATATAAAATTATAGCCTTACAACAAGCGTAAATAACATTATTTTTGATAAATATTTGACTGTTTGTAAGCCGTTCTTTGTCCTGAAGCTCCCGTGAAAGGTCAAATTTAGGTCAAGTTTGAGAGCTTGTAGCGTTACTATTAAACAAATGCCCAAAGATTTGTTTAGTCCTCCTTGAAGCACGTTGTTACTTCTTCAAAATAACCGAGTTTCGTTTCATTTAAAGGTTTAGCAAATTCGCAGTCGGATTGTTTGTAAAGTATACTTTTTTCGACTCGAAAAATATCTCGAACGAAAATAATTATTAAAATATGTTATAATGGTCGAATTAAGTTGAAACTCACGCAATGTATAAACAAAGTATAGTGTTACAAAGGCTTAAAACGATTAGCTTGTTGCGTTATTCAGTGGTTAAAACTGCCGTTAAAATTCACGGCSAAAATTAGCATTTCGGGGTGCCTTTGAAAAAAGTCGATTTTCTCGATTTTAAAGCAAAATTTGAGCAAACCAAATACATTTCGATTCTTAGGATACATTCCTTTACCAAACTACAAAATATGAGCGAAATCGATTTTTCGACCTGTGCCAACATTTCTTCAATCATTACAGATATTCACTCTTAAATTGTGAGTAAGTGATGTCACTCAATCAATCATATTGTTTCCATCGTCTTTAAGTAGTCAAAAATTACTGTTTCACATTTATCTCGCCATAAAGTTACCGATAAGTTAACTTTGATTTGGTAAATTAATTTACAATTTTGTGTGATTGTAAATACCTGTTTGACATTTGCTTCAATCATCCCTTTGATGTCTCCATCTGAAACCCAACGCAAGCTCTTGGGGTTTAAGCCCCTCTCTGAGCAGTACCTCCGCACACTTCTAGCACTTATTCCTCTTTCTCCTTAACATGTCAGCACAAAAAGAATAAATATATTAAACATAATCTTCTTTCCAGACCTATTATCCTCTTATCCATGTGTGAGATGGATACAGCCTTTTGCAAAAATTATGAGAATTGTTGAAATATCTAAATATCATAATATCGAGTGCATGATGGGTAATCCCGCGCGATGCCCTTAGCTTAGTCCCTTGTCTTTGTAGTTCAGTTGTTTTTTGGCGACGGACTTATTCCTAGTTCTGAACATTTTCTCGATGTCAACAATGAATTATTCTAGCAAACCCGTGTGTTCCGGACAAAATATGGATATGGATATTACGATATTTAGATATTTACACAATTCTCATAATTTTTGCAAAAGGCTGTAATTATCTCTGGCATATTTGGAAATATCTTGCTCTATGATTAGTTCTTAAAATATACACACTTGCCTTCTGAAGTGGAAGTATCAGAGAAAAAACACTTAAAATCATTCTGTATTTTTCTACATCACCTTAAATTGTTTCTTTAAAAGCATTTATTAGGTCTATGAAGTGGGTAATTAACAAATACAGCTAAGCTAACTTTCTAAGTAACAGCTGATCATGATCAATTTCAAAAGAGTTTTCCAACAGTACGTAGATTCATAATTTGAGACCTTACAAATCCCTGTGTTTTTTCTCTCTTTGACTTCCAAAGCACACATGGCAAGTCACATAAGCATGAAACAATTCTTAACTATGTAGTGCTAAATAAGATTTAGTTATCAACTAACTAAGAATTGAGAACAATGCTACAAAGAAATTTAAATAATTGTCATTGTGTTTATGCTTTGTTGAATTCTTAGTTAGTTGATAACTAAATCTTATTTAGCAATACATATTAAGAATTGTTTCATGCTTATTTGACGTGCACTCTAAAATCCTGATATATCAGAATATTTGAATACAGCTAAGCTTACTTTCCACGTTGCACATGAATAAGAGGATAATAGGCCAGGGAACAAGATTAAATTACACAAATAATAATTTAAAAGTGCATGTCATATATTGCAATACTAAATTGTACTAGATAGTACAAAATCATTGCGTTCCTTTCTTAATTAGTGGTCTGTGAAATGGTACAAAATCAAAATAGGACAAAGTAATTGCACCAAATCAAAAACTGAAGTGGAACATCCTTTGAATTACCATATTGTTCTTTTAATTATTAACACCATTTACTAAATTGCACAAAATAGTACAAGGAGGTTTATAGTATAAATTTCGCAGATTTAGTGCAATCGCTCTAGTATGCATCATCTAATCATCTAGTATGCATCATCTGCGCGCCCCGCTTGAATTTCGTGTAACACAAAATTATGAAGATTTTGAGTGAGCATTTCAATCCACATTTATCAAAGCAATTCTTTGTTTTCCTAACGAGTTTTCGTCGTAAATCAATCAACTGTAAATCCATTTATGCTGATCAAGTAATATTTTTTTCTAAAAAATGTAAAAAGAGCAGTCAATGGGATTGTAAATATTTGATACACCAAGTTGTCAGAAATTATAGACCAGCTCTGTGACCTAGTAAACCAAAGCTCCCAGTTCTCCAAAAACAATACGATTGCTTGAATCGGAATGCAGCCACTGGGGTTCAAAAGCAATATACAGTAGACAGTGAGTTTTCAGATTAAGTTTGACCTGGCATGACATTTCTGATTTCACACGGAACCAAAAGAATCGTGCACTGGACTCACCTCGACAGGTATTTCCCGGTTATTTATATGTGTTCGTCGTCCTCTGAACTTTCTAGTTCTATAGCTGAACCATAAAAGTTTTCCAATGTTGTTTGTCAATATTATAGTAAAGTTTTAATCAGATAAAAAGCTCTAGAAACTTGCTGTTCTTTCGATGAAGCCCCAAAGTTTGCATTGTCAAACCGACCAATCAGAAACAAGCACTTCAATTCAAAACAATTAAACAAATGGCCCCAAAGGATCTCAAATGACGGTGGGCCTTTAATGCAGAAATATATCTTTTTTCGACAATAATAGTGGGTGCAATTGCATGTTAATGGACATTTCCTAATACTTTCAACTGTATTCGGATCGACATATGAATCAACTCTGCACCAAATGTATTTGAGTCGGCACAAATTGTGTATTTGGTTCGGCGCGATGCTGGCTTGACGTCTGAACCGGACCTAAAAGCCCATCTCTGATGTCAGAAAATGTTCAAAACTCAAGTGGAAAGCTAGACAAACTCAAAACTTTCTGCAATTCGTTTTTTTACCACATATTTTCAGCTAAAAATCCAGAAAAAATCAGTTTTCATTCTACTGGGTGCACACAAGATTAAATAGTGTGTCTATCCCCTTACTGAGGCACTCTAATCAGCCAATCAGTGCGTGAGAGTTCCTATAATAGTGTAAAATTACGATACTCGATCTAACGATATCCCCAATTTACGATATCGTTACTTTTCACAACAAAAATACAATAAGGTTAAAATTGCAAGAAGACCTCTAGCTACATGTAAGATATCTAACGATATTCGGTACAACCATATTGCAAATGATATCGATACCGCGATATAATTGGTTGTGGCTATCAACAGAGTGACAAAAGCAAGTTTGATTCAATGATCATCAAACAGTAACTTCATAAAATTATTAAAAATTTGAAATGAAAAGGTCATGTACAGTCCGGCACTGTACGCTCTAATGCACATTAAGAAAGTTATATACACGCTGATTCAGCATATTCTGACAATTTGGATTGAATTACTCACCTGGAAATAGTCGCTGGATTCTCTTGCTTATTTCCTTGTAAGAAAGTTTCTTCTCAATAAGCTCTTTAACAAACGTTTCTTCGACAATTTCTTCGAGGTTCATCTCAAAACATGAAGCAAATGAAGCAACGCACACTTGGAGTAAACATGTAACCTGGCAATTTGACACGTGATTGATCCCTCCATATTAAGTTCAGAAAATAATTTCGAAAATAAGAACTAACGCTTCCGAATCCGGAAAAATCAAAACTTCGGATAAATAAAAATGATTGTCAATACCCGAAATAATTTCAAAATACTCAAAAGTATTCACAAAACAGTTTTAAAATTCAGTGAAATCAAAAATTCTAGAATGTAATTTCTGTTTGGCCATGTGGTACACTGATCTTCAGGCCTCGATAATGAATGATTTGTCKCAATATTCATTCTTCAAATGTTGAAATTAGTAATCTTAAATATTGACTTTTATTATAATTTATACAATCAGAATTAGCAGACAAGTCAAGTAAAAAATTGCTCGTATTCTCTGATTTCACATCAAATGGACCATGCTCTCCGTTTTGATATTTTATTCCGACAAAATTACAAAACGACTGAGTTGCCAAACCATAGACTGTGTCTTTCAAATTGCCCACAAGCTTGACAGCTGAAATGGTGTTTATTAAACCAAATTGAACTTTTCTTCTCGGCACTGACAGTCCATAGGATGTGTGAGAGTTTTGTGACATCGATGACGTGCTCTGCTGTACTTTTATTTGCGCAGTCATTCCACGTTGTTTGGTCAGTAGTTTTTATTTGATACTCCACTTTGCCACTTCTTACATGCAAATCTTCACTGGTATCAAGTTAGCGGATTTTCAGCGCCCCGAAATAAGGTAGAACTACATCAAAATAGCATTGAATCGTCAACGAAAAGGTATTTTTAATCTTTGGACAAGAAGCCTACTTGGGTAAGTTTTAAGTGAGATTCTCTTTTGAAACTGTAACGATAGGATCAAACTTTTCAAAAACCTTAGTTGCAAAGTTTTTATGCTCAACTATCGTAAGGAAAAATAGCAAAATCCACCCTCAAAAATTTTCGCAYGCTTGAAATAGGAAAAACTTCCCCATGTGGAATTGGTAACGAACGCCCGAAACGAAGAGATCAAATGGATAAAGCGACTAGCTTGCGGAGCGCGCGAGTGTGCGGCGGTCAATTTTGACTTGTATCATTGATCGTTTTCAACCATTCCCATGAGTTTCAAAAAATAAAAGACCGGCGGCCATGTTGGAGGAATGAGCAATAACTATACTAATGAGAGATCTTTTGTTWAAATTCCTCCAAGAATGGCCGCTGTGACRTAACYTGAAAACGAATAATTAGCGCGGAATTTTATTGTACTTCATTCATAGATTTGAGCTCAAGGCAAGTCTTWACAACTGCACAATTCTTGAAGTCAACGAATCAGACTATAACTCAAACGTTTTTACCGTGGTCATCTTATGAAAGATACATTAAAAAATATATATTTATTTAACCGAAACAAAAATTGCTTTTCAACATATCTTCTCCTTGGCACATTGTATAACCCTTAAACTAAGCATCAACCGACCTCCTCTTTATTTCAAAGACCTCAGYTGAGAGCTCAACAGAAAGGATTGCCCAAGACTTCAAAATGGCTTCAAGACTGTGTAATACCAGCGTTCCTGRAAACACTATGAACACTAATRCATCTAGATGTATGTTTTCAGAAGAAGTTTCACAGTTAATGGATATTTATCTTTCAACTTGCTTGGCTTCTGGCATTTATCTGTCCATATTGTCCATATTAACGATAATTGCAAATGGAGTACTGCTGTTTGCTCTGTACAAAGATCCCTTGAATCATAAATCTCGTCATCCGTTGACAATTCTTATAATGGGACTGGCCTCTGCGGATTTATTCACAGGTCTTGCTGTGGATCCACTGTTCGCTTTCTTCTTCTTTAAAGCATCGTTTGAAAACATCACTGATGTGGAGTACAATGTTCTGTTAAAAGCAGGGACTGTTTTATCGGGGATAACTATGAATGTGTCGTTTCTTATTGTGCTGTTTCTGTCTTGGGCGCAGCTTTTTGCCATCATATTCCCTCATAAACAGAAACAAGTCATAACNGAGCTCAAGGCAAGTCTTTACAACTGCACAATTCTTGAAGTCAACGAATCAGACTATAACTCAAACGTTTTTACCGTGGTCATCTTATGAAAGATACATTAAAAAATATATATTTATTTAACCGAAACAAAAATTGCTTTTCAACATATCTTCTCCTTGGCACATTGTATAACCCTTAAACTAAGCATCAACCGACCTCCTCTTTATTTCAAAGACCTCAGYTGAGAGCTCAACAGAAAGGATTGCCCAAGACTTCAAAATGGCTTCAAGACTGTGTAATACCAGCGTTCCTGRAAACACTATGAACACTAATRCATCTAGATGTATGTTTTCAGAAGAAGTTTCACAGTTAATGGATATTTATCTTTCAACTTGCTTGGCTTCTGGCATTTATCTGTCCATATTGTCCATATTAACGATAATTGCAAATGGAGTACTGCTGTTTGCTCTGTACAAAGATCCCTTGAATCATAAATCTCGTCATCCGTTGACAATTCTTATAATGGGACTGGCSTCTGCGGATTTATTCACAGGTCTTGCTGTGGATCCACTGTTCGCTTTCTTCTTCTTTAAAGCATCGTTTGAAAACATCACTGATGTGGAGTACAATGTTCTGTTAAAAGCAGGGACTGTTTTATCGGGGATAACTATGAATGTGTCGTTTCTTATTGTGCTGTTTCTGTCTTGGGCGCAGCTTTTTGCCATCATATTCCCTCATAAACAGAAACAAGTCATAACGCGCGTAAGAGCTACAGTTACTGTGATCTTAGTCTGGATTTACTCGCTGGTTTTCTCATTTCTCAACATCATGGGTGTCCCAAANTCAACTGGAACAGTCTTAGTAACAATACATTCTGTACACTTGGGAAATCAAATACAAAGGAAACAATACCTCATTGATTACCTCATTACAACTGTTCCAGTTAAGTGATAGCAACTAATAGTCACTAAATATGAACTATTAGATAGTAACTATTTATTAATGATAGATTTTATTTCATGGCATAGTGTAAGCACTTTACTGCTATCGTATGATATGTTTTTGAAAATTATTAACAGTAACCAAATTTTGTTTTAGAAATTGATGATCTCTATGGGAGGAAAAGAGCACTGGTTTCTGCTTTCAATAAAGAAAAGGAAGAATACAATGCTTTGCTTAAAGATATCAGAGAACAAGAAAGACATATAAAGAGAGAAGTTGAAGCTATGAAGAGAATTGAGCAGCGGCATTTGCACAGGCAGCGGCACGGCAGTGAAAAGTATGTACCATTTCATCTGTTAGTCAAACAAACAAACATTATTGTTAATCATTAATTAGCAAGGCAATCAGCCAATAAATTAGTTAATTAATCTGTCAGACAGTCAGTTGTAAAAAGATAAATTTAACTTAACATTGTAAAAAGCAGTGAAACAGTCAATCAATCAATCAGTCAAGATCAATTAATTTATTAATCTATCAATAACTATAATAATCAATAATCAATCAATCCATGCATATTAAATGATCAATGATCTTGTTCCAATCATTCATCCATTAATTTATTCAATAAATAGTCAATCAATTAACTAATTTTCCATCAATCATTGTGTTAATTAGGAAATCAATCAATCAAGTAATTAGTTAATATCTATCAGTCAGTAAGTCAGTCAGTCTTAGTTACATGTAATCGTCAAGACAGTTAATCAACCAGTTAAAAGTCTGTCAGATCATGACTGTTTTAACAAATCATTCTTTCCAATGAAGCAGTCAATCAACAATCAATTTGTAAGCTAAAATTAATCTTTTTTTCCATCTTTGTCTTCCAGTGCTGAAGATCCAAGCAGAGACGCTGTACATCAGACAATGATAGGTGTTTGTGATTCTCTGATCACTTACATCAATGGATTGAATGTGAATACTAAAGCACAAGACAGCCACTCAATCAATGAGCACCCCCCTGACATCAAAGGTAGTACATATGAGTTCAATTTGCTATTGTTCAGAGAACTAGTGATAGAGGCAAGGGGGGGTTAGGGTTAGCCAAGATTAGTGACAGAATGGTGGGAACTAGCGGTAAACTAGTGTGAGCTGCATCTCAGTGTTTCTAAAGAAACAGTTGTGTAAAAAGATTTTACGCTTAAACTGATTAACTATATTAATTTTTGTAACTATTATATTATAGCTATCATAGTACGCGGTCTCTGATTGGTCCAATGTTACTTATTGATGTTTATTTCACCGGTAAAAGCACAGATGCCAAAATGCTATAATATAAAAGCAATAAACAACATTCCTTCGTGCATTCTGGTGAAGTAAACCACACATTTTGTCCAACTTGTCTCTTAACATTACAGCAAAACAAGTCGGAAAGCGAAGTTGCACGTTTTACTACTGGCGAACCAAATTGTCTCGCATCAAAATAATTTGATGCAGGTTGAGCAAATCCTTATTTGTGATTGGCAATGCAGTCAGCTGATTGTCGCGCGACGTCACTAAATACTGCAAGACTAGTTGGGTTGGTATAGTAGTATGGGCAACATCTTTGAGTTTTGTTGCAAAAAGTAGAACCATCTTCTACTTTCTGCAACAAACATTTTTAACTTGCAACAAAAATTTTTGCTGTGACAAAAGTTGTTTGCTAGTATAACACACATTTTCGCTTTCTAACTTGTTTTGCAGCAATGTTGCAACACTTTTGTGCAATTTTGTTGCTCGTATTACCATACCTTTAGTTGTAATTTTTTCCTGTAGTCAATAAATACATTATATAAACATTAAACTTGGCTTGAAATTGCCAGGCATTGATTGCTCTTTTACAAACATGCTTCCAGGGGACGAATCTAGCTTTACTGGGGGTTCGTTTTTAAAAAAGAAAAAGGATGATGATTTGGAAGAGATGTATGCTGGAGCCACTAAGAGAAATAGCAGAAGAGGAAGCAAAAAGGGAAGAAAATCAACTCAAAGAGAGGTAGTGAAATGTTTGTTTAAAGGACTTCTGTYGATGTTTGAAAATAAAAATACACTGTAATATAAGCAAAAACWTACTCTTTATTATCCCCTTATGCTTTATAAATAGAGATATTGTAAGATTTAACCTTAAAACCATTGGATGGAAWTGGATTATGAATGGATATTTGAAGTCACCTCATTTTCCATATAATATGAAAAAATCTAAAATGTGGACACACTGAAGCCTAGTTGACCATGGCCCTTTCAGAAAGCCAAATCAAAGTTTCACAATATCAGATTTTGCCAGGAAAAAACAATAACAAAGAGAGCAATAAAGCAAAATGATTATTTTATTTTATTTTTTTATAATTTGCCTTTATTTACTTGGCATACTCATCATACTTTCATCCTGGCATTTTGAGTCATCTTGTTTTAACTGATTTTGTTGTGGTTTACATTGCAGAATACTCCTAAAAAGCTTGTATTACATCCAGCAGTACTGGATAAATTCCTTTCTGTTGCTATAGTACCTCCAAGCACAGCAGCAGAAATTCCCAAAGTGTTGGAACTATTGATTGAAAAGAAGGTAAANTTCTCTTAATCATTTAAAGTAAACCTCTGGAATTGTTTTAAACCTGACACAAACAACTAGCACTAGTTCTGTAATATTCCGCCATATATTCTGCTGTGACGTCCTATCGACGGCGAGTTGTCATTCTTAAAATGAAGTTGTTAATTATCAAATCTAAACTGTGCAAACAATCAAGACGCGTTTCCTTCCGCCAGTCAAAGCGTATCAGCCTCCAATAAATAACCTGACATATTACGTAAATGCCATTCGTAGAAAAGGAACCTTATATTCAATAAATTACGCAAGGTTTAGTGTTTTATCGTCGGTAAATTAAAAGAGATTTATAGGATGCTGGTGAACTTAACTAATAACGCAACAACCGGTGCTTCATCCTTTCTTTAATTTCATAAATAATTAAGAAACTGCCCTTTCCCAAGAGCGTGATAGTGTGATGTTTTTCTTTGTTTGTTGTTGTTGTTCTTTTTGTACAAATCAGAGTGTGGCTGAGAACCAATCTAGCTCAAAGCTGCCAACACAAATTAAACARTTTCATATCTTGTATATCCGCCATTTTGTCTATATTTTTGGACTAATCACTAACTCAAACCGAGCGCAGAAAACCGATATTTCATTTCATCGGTATCTCATGACATTTCATAGTTTAAGGCTCCTGCATTTTCTGTCAATTTTATTTTTCGTCAAATTGCCTTACGAAGCCATGGACGTTTTGCTATTTTCTCGAAAAACGAGGAGATTTTTCGTAGCATAATCTTAAGACCGGGAGGAAAAATTTTGCATAGTCGTGAAATCCACTTCTGATGAAGCCGCCAAATGTGCCGATTMAACATGTATTTCAGCCCATGAATAAGAATTGTTTCATTTGGCTTTGAATTTGAGATTCATCGTAAGCAAACACAGCACGCCAGAGTTCTGTTTCACAGATTTTACGTCCTAATATCTAGTGACCGCCAGCAAAACTTCCTAACCTAATAAATTGTATTTCACGTACGCTACAGAGGATGTTATGGAAATGGATAGTTTTGATTCATTCCAATGAGATTCCAAAGATAAAATACCGACGGCCATGTTAGATGAATGAACATTAGATACTAATGAAAAAATCCTTTGTTGAAGTTCTTCCAAGATGGCCGCTGTGACGTAACTTGAAAACGAAGAATATGCACGTGCTTGTGATGTGTTACATTCTCGATACTAGGGTGTGGCCAGGGGCGTGACTAGTCCAATCGGAAGTGTGTACAAATTACTTTATTACCCAATTTTACAATGAAATCATTGCCTGTACAACTGTATTTAATAAGAACGACTTTGCGCCCTTTATTTTGGATACTGTTATTGCTTATTCTGTATTGCGATCGCAATTATGTAAACAGTGTCGTCTAATTTCATCACAATTTTCATAATGTAGTCAAATAAAATCTTCGACCAAAGTCTTGATCCTCTTTCATTATGAAATTGGCAAATGGCGATGTACAATGCCACGGCGTTTATTATATTASGCAGGCACCTTCGTGTCTAGGAGTAAACCTCGCCCCTTCCTTGGTCAACCGCGTTTCGATTCTTACTGTAATGAAACGCTTTGATGAGCACTGCATGTATCAAACTATTGAGACACACTGTCTTATTTCGAAACATTTTTCATCACGGCTATTTACAGCGAATCTCATTTGACCGTGAAAGATATTTGACAGTCTTATATGAACTCGTAGATGTATAAAATGTCAGTTCAAGATCATTTTAAAAGATTACTT